ACAATTGTTATGGGATGAAACGGGATGTTGCAGAGTATGTGAAGAGATGTATAATTTGCCAGCAAGTGAATATAGTGTGCATACTATATTCTTGATATTAAGTTAATAATATAGTCTGCATATTATTGTTACAATAGTTAATTAATCTCATAATACCAAAGCATGGGCCATAACATAAGCAATATATATATTCAAGGTCATAAAGTATCATTAGTTAGAGCTGAAAACTAAGCCATACATGGTTATGACCTTTAAATTAAAATCCATTGAAATAGACATAGATTGAACATATGCATACCTCACCGAATGCATTCCAGACTTATCATGCCTGAAAAATATGTATATCACTGAAGACAAACATGAGATTTACATATGTGCATATGAATTGCAAGACTGTAAGTACCACTGATAGCATATAACATAAACTTAAATGAATAATAGGTAATCAAAATCACTTTAAATTACCACTTTGATGCTATCAAATTTTTCATATATTTATACACATATCAGGACTTCAATGTATGTGAATTAACCAATAACATGAAACACAATACATTAGTAGTACCGAGAATCTCCAAAAAGTAATTTATCAAAAAACTTGAACAAGGAACTCAAGTCAAATTGAACCATATGTTAGAAAAAACTATATATTGTATATATTGAGTTGTGACACACACACACACACACACACACACACACACATACACACACACATACATACATACATACATATATATATATGCCTATTTACATTCCTGAAATTTTCTATGTCAACAAAATAAAAATAAAAAAGGAAAATTAATAGGTTTAAGAACCATTTTTACCCCTTTTGCCGAAAAATGTATGTGGCAAAAAAGGTTTGTCATCATGCTATTTAATATATACATATGCCAACTTCATGAAGTTCTAGATCATGACGAATATACTTAAATATCTTTTTCATAATTTTTTAATTTTAACATCTCAAATTATATGTTCACAACCACATAGGAGACTCAATTAAGGTAGTTGTGATAAAGCAAATAAACATGTATAAATCCAATAGGACAATGAAATCGAAATAGGATGCAATATCAATTAATAGGTTGTAATATTCCTTCCAGTCAAAGGACAAGTTTTAATATATAGTTATCTCAGATTTCAGTATGAATTAGGTTAGAACACAATTCATATTGAAAACCAATTCCTTTTGCCGTGAAACATGAGTATGAAAATTGAGCAAAACTTAAAATATGTCATCGATTCAAGACATAAACTTTTAGGGTTTACCAAGTAGGTCTTTAGTTGTATTATGACATGCTCTGATACCAACTGTTAGACTTTATATATTTCATAAACAACTAAAAACACTAACCTAGAAGAATCCATAGATGATACACGATTAATAGAGTACTTGAAGTCAAAAATGCATGTAGTAAATATGAACCATCTTTGACAGAGCTGTGCAGAATAGAATGAACCATAGGCAGGCTTCTTCATATAATGGATAACATATTGTAATCCTAAAAATAATATGTTAGTTAACCAAAGTCTTCTGCACACTCAACACTTTTTTAAACTTGAACTAATGAAGCGTTCATCTGAGTTTCTGTGTGTTGCAAGCAGGGACCTTAGCCTTGTATTTAAATGACTTAACCCTAATGAATCCTCCCATAATAATGTCATTAGGATTCCTTGCAATCAAAGATAATTGATACACCAAATCTCATTCCATATAGGATAGAATTAGGAGCCCTTATTTCCCAAGGAAATTCAAAATATATTAACTTTACTTGTGGTACAAGCTATAGCTATTACCTAAATCATAATTTTATTTATATTCCAAGCCATTCTTAGATTAACTGTGTAGACCTATTAGTCATTAGATTATGATCCAACGTCCAACACCCTCCACCACCGTCACACTTTGAGCCTAACGCTAGAGTTTATCACCTTTCCTGGTGATTGCGTAGTTTCAATAGCTGTTTTGATTGTAGAATCGACAGAAGCCCTTTTCAACAACAATGAGCATGAGAGTCCAATCAGATTTGGGATTGAGAGAGTGAGGTGAGGATGGCGGAATTGGTTAGAGAGAATAGGTGGAGGAGACGGGGGAGGATGGGGATGTGGTATGATTTTATTTTCTGGGTTTAGGATGGGATGGTATGATTTTGTGGATTTGGTTTGGGTTAGTATGATTTTCTGAGTATGGGAGTTGCGGTGACAATTTGGCAAGTGTGGGGGTGATATTGGCAAATGGGAGAGAGGAGTGGGAGTGAGGGGAGGAAGAATGGACAGCTGGCGTTCTAGAGAGAAATGAGGCGTTTTGGAGAGAAATGAGGGTGAAAGTTTATTTTTAATTTAGTTTTAATTACTAAATAAAAAATTCTTAATTTTTTAATTTTTTAAATTTAGTTAGGTGAGCCCTATGCCTGCCACATCATCACTTAACAGCGAAATTGACAGAAAATTTAACAGAGGTCTGACATTGTAATGTTTAAAACATGAGCTATGAGATTGTGGTTCGACCCATAGTTAAAGTAGTTTTATGTAATTTACCCAATAATTAATGTAAGAATTAGGTCTTAACAAAAATAAATGATTGAATTGAAAATAGAGAAATGGGTCAGGTACTGTTTGATCTATGTGCAAAACATGGGTCTCTATATGGGTTTCAAATGTAATGAAACTATTTCTTTTTTCTTTTTTTTTTTTTATAAAAGGGGGACAACTAACGGTAAGTCACAGTTATTCACTCCTTCCGGGCTTAAAGAGGCTAATGAGAGTTTCACCCTGCTCATGACCACAATTAAGCAGACTCACCAACTTGAAGATCGAACCCTGAACCTCCCACATGAAACTATTAACTATAGTATAAAAAATACGAGTTCTCACATGAACCTTACGTACATTGCCTAGGAGCTGCTTGAGTGCTTGTGGAATCCTTCTCTGAAGTGTCAAAAGAAGAGAATATATATATATATATATATTCACAGCTTTAAGACGATAAATAATTATCATAAAAAATCTATAATTTAATATATTTTTAAATGCAAATGCAGTAAACTCATAGTGGGCTAATTCATGAATTGAATCAAATAGACCTTTTTAACTAAGCGGTACAGTCGCACTCTTTAAACGTCCTAAGAAATAGGCGTAAGTCATCGATTCCAATCAGATCCGAAAAATGAGAAATCAATCAAAGGTAAGTGCAGCAGATCTGAATTGAATCATGACTATATAAGATATTCTGATAATAAGATTCGATATAAATGAAACGGTGGACTTAAAATCTTTCCTGAACTATGACCAGCCATCATATTAGCAAATAAACGTATTCCTAAGCTTAATGCGTGAAAACAATGAGGAATTAGCTCAAGGAGTACTAAAAGGGGTGCTAACGGCACTGAGACTCCTGCAGGTAATGAAAAGTCCTACACTTCCTGAAGACAATAATGGTCAAGGAAATGACCAAGGATGCCTGTGAACGCCTTCAACTTTTATGGGAGGTGCTCAACTTTTTTCAGATTTTCTTAGGATGGTTGGAACCACATGTTCTATCTGTTAATTAGAGCTTATCTTTGAGGCTTAATTTTCTGATATAATTCTTCTCACCAAGGAGGAAAATATATAATGTACAAGAGTGATTTACAAGGAAAGAAATAAACATCAAATAACCTAATTACAATATGATTATAAGAACTCGAAAAAAGGTAACTAAACTAATTAAAAAAAGTCAACTCTCCAACACTCCCCCTCAAGTTGGTGCATAAATGTCGTTCATGCCCAACTTGACAAGAGAGTTGTAAAACGCTTGACTTGCAATAGCTTTAGTTAAGATACCCGCTAATTGATCCTTTGACTTTACGAACGGGAATTAAATAATATTCCCATCCAACTTCTCCTTAATGAAGTGTCTGTCAACTTCCACGTATTTTGTGTGATCATGTTGAATTGGGTTGTGTGAGATATCGATAGCTGCTTTATTATCACAAAATAAATCTGAGGTTGAATTCGAAGGATACCCAAGTTCACCAAGTAACCTCTGAAGCCATAATAGTTCACATACTCCTTTTGCCATACCCCTGTATTCCGCCTCTGCACTTGATAAAGCAACCACTTTCTGTTTCTTACTCCGCCAAGTCACTAAATTTCCTCCCATAAATGTAAAGTAACCAGATGTGGACCGACGATCAGTAGCGTTGCCTGCCTAATCTGTATCCGTGTAACCCTCTTTTCGGCAATGATCATTCTTGGAAAACATGATACCTCTACCTGGTGAGGACTTCAGGTATCGTAGAATGCGTTCAACTGCACCCATATGTGCCTTACTCGGAGAATGCATAAATTGACTAACAACACTTACTGCGTATGCAATATCAGCCCTGGTGTGAGATAAATAAATTAACCTCCTAACTAACCTTTGATAACGATCTCTGTTAGTGGGAACTTGATCACGATGCATGGCAAGATGGTGATTTTGAACTATAAGGGTGTCAGCCGATTTACAATCAAGCATTCTGGTGTCAGCTAACAAGTCAAGAACATATTTTCTTTGAGATAGAAATATACCCTGTTTAGATCGAGCTACTTCTATACCCAAGAAATATTTCAATCCACCAAGATCTTTCATTGAACTCAATTGCTAAGTAATCTTTTAGCCTTGAGATTTCCTCTTTATCATCACCTGTAACAAGCATATCATCCACATAAATAATAAGTGCCGTCAATTTACCCATTCGACGTTTCAAGAAAAATGTATGATCGGAATTGCTCTGCCTGAACCCATACTTCCTCATAGTCATCCGGAACCTACCAAACCATGCTTGAGGTGATTGTTTCAATCCATACAATGCCTTATTCAACTTACACACCAATCCAGGTTGTGAAACCGATGCATAACCAGGTGAAATATCCATATACACTTCTTCTTTAAGATTACCATGTAAGAAAGCATTTTTCACATCAAATTGCTGTAATGGCTAATCCAAGTTAGCTGCCAACGAAAGTAACACTTTTACCGTATTAATCTTTCCTACAAGAGCAAATGTTTCTGTATAACCAGCACCATACGTCCAAGTGTATCCTTTGGCCACTAATCGTGCTTTGTATCGTTCAATCGACCCATCAGCTTTGTACTTAATGGTGTACACCCATCGACATCCCACTTTCTTCTTTCCTCGGGGTAGCAGAACTAAATCCCATGTTTGATTTTTCTGAAGTGCATCCATTTTTTCCTCCATTGCCTTGGTCCATCGATCATTAGATAGTGCCGCCTTCAATGAACTTGGTGTGCTATCATTGGATATTTGTTGTACAAAAGCTTTGCTGGGTTCTGATAATTTATGTGATGACACATAGTTGGTAATGCGATATTTAGAGCCTTTCATTGTTTCCGGTGAATATCGATTAGGTGGCTTTCCCCGGTTATGCCTGAAAGGTAACTGATAATTCAAAATATCGGATACATCAATAGGGATAGTAGATCTTACCTTAAGAATATTCTCTGGAGTATGGTCATCTGGTGGTACTATATTTTGAGACGAGGGGGATTAGTATCAGTAGAAGTCTCAAGATTGGCAAGTGGCAGCACTGTTGCTGTGGGTAAGCACGGTATTGCAGTGTCTGCTGCTAGTTTTGTGGGCAGCGATGCTGCTTTTGTTGGCTGGGCTGGCAGTGCAGCCACTACGAGCTCGGCTAATAGTGGCAACGGAAGATCAGTGGTAGCAGCAGCCATGGTCCAAACCTACTTGTCATGCAGTGTCTCCCCCTGAAGAGAAGGGTTGGAAGAAGCTGAAGAGTAATACATCTCAGACTCGAAAAAAGTAACATCCATAGTAGTAAACATCCGACATGAAGGAAGGTGGTAGCAACGGTACCCTTTCTAATGTAATCCATACCCTATGAAAACACACCGAAGAGCACATGGGTCAAGTTTTGTCTGTTGATTTTTATGTAGATGAACAAAGGCAACACATCCAAAAACTCGCAGTGGGAGCACCAAAACGGACGGTAGAGGCACAAATGTAGCAAGAACTTGCAAAGGTGTAAGAAAATTCAATACTTTGGATGGCATACGGTTGATAAGGTAAGTGGCAGTCTGAAGAGCAACATCCTAAGAGGAGCGGGGAACATCCACCCCAATCAATAGCGATCGCGCTTTTAATAGATGGCGATTTTTGCGCTCAACCACCCCATTCTGTTGAGGAGTCTGAGGACATGTAGTCTCGTAGACGATTTCGTGATTAGTTAAATAATGTGTAAAATCATTATTAACATATTCACCACCATTATCAGAACGCAAAATCCGAATTTTAGTAGAAAACTGTGTTTGAACCATGGTGTAGAATGTCTTAAATGCCAGCAACACATCGCTTTTATGCTTAAGAAGGTATAACCATGTCATCCGTTTGCATCTATGAACGTTACAAACCACCTAATACCGGATGAAGTAGTAATCGGAGATGGTCCCCAAACGTCCGAATGAACAAGACCAAAAGGAATATCACTTTTATTAGAATTCAACAGATAAGAGACACAGTGACTCTTGGCAAGTACGCAAGTGTCACATTTAAAGTCTGAAACCGAACAACAAACAAATAAATCATGTACTGACATCGTCCACAAAATAGAGATCCCCCATCTTAGTACCACGACCAATTATCTCTTTCGTGAGAATATCTTGAATAAAACAAAACTTCGGATACAATAGTACACAACAATTCAATTGCTCAGTAGCTTGGCCAAGAGACATTAATTTATGCTTTAGTGAAGGTACAAGTAGTGTATGTAGCAAAGAAAGAGTAGGCATGAGGCGTACAGTGCCAGCACCAGTTACCGGTAAGGTGATGCCATTAGCATTAGTAATACTTCGTCGAAGTGGAACAGTATCACAAGATAAATCAGTGGGGTCATATGTCATATAATCTGTGGCACCAGAGTCAATAATCCAATCGGACTGGGTATCACAATTATTCATATTAAAAGAATAACCATAGTTACCTGAGGACTCCGGAGGCATGTCAAAAGAACTCGAAACAGGAGGATTCATGGTAGAGTCAGTTAGGGTAGTAGTGTTCAGTATAGGGGTAGGATTGGTTAGGATGAAATTGTTTCCACTGTGGAGTGGTGGTAGGTTCTTCATGGGAGGGCCGAGTTTGCTTGAGGGAACGGACAGAGCAGAAATCCTAGGATCTTTGCTCTGATACCATGCTAATTAGGGCTTATCTTTGGGGCTTAATTTTCTGATATCATTATTCTCACCAAGGAGGAAAATATATAATGTACAAGAATGATCTACAAGGAAAGAAATAAACATCAAATAACCTAATTACAATCTGATTATAAGGACTCAAAAAAAGGTAACTAAACTAATTACAAAAAGTCAACTTTCCAACACTATCCGCTTTGAGTAAAAGCAGTTTATGGAAAGAGCGGGACGAGTCAAAAAATTGAGAGAGGATGTGGATGCTTTGGAGAATGAACTAAAGAGGCTAAGCGGAAGGGTTGGGCTAACTATTGTAGAGGTACATCTTGAGACACTCAGAAGAGAATAGCTATGAAACAAGGATTGGAGGAGACAAGTAAGATGAACAGTGTGCTAGGTTATGGGAGGCACTGGCATTTATTTTATTTGTAATCGTAATATTTGTAAATCTTGACAACAGATTTCCAAATAGGATTTTTACTACCTGCAAAAGTAGGGATAAAAATACTTAAAAATACTTGCAAGAGTACAAGGTTATCGTAGTATAGCAGCTCAAGTAAAATTGTTTTCCACAATGACTAATCCTAAGGCAAAGGGTCGAGAAACTCAACGCCACTATTCTTGAACAACTTGGAGTTGGCCTTCTTTTTGCACTATTACGAATACGAAAATAATGCGATGTCTCTGGAGTTTTGAAAAATCCAAACATCTCAGAAATAGAGAGGTAGAAATTTATCCAACGAACCGTAGGAATTAGTCACTTCAACCGTCTTCGATGGTTAATACAGGTATCCAAAAAACGAACGAGATGGATGTTTGTTGTCCCAACCATTCTTGTTAGTCCCGATCCTGATAAGGAAAATGGATAATTTATAAAAATAAAAATAAAACAAAAGAAAATAGTTTGAAAATCTATTTAAGCACTAGGGTTCTACCGTCACCTTAACAATCATACGTAGTTCTTACAATTACTTATGAATTACCCATGCATATTTGAAGGTTAGGCTTTCCTAATATATATCCTACTTGGAACCTCCAACATAGAACGTATATCTAACATGCAACCCGTCTGTAATGTCCAGATCAAATGTGAACATGCAAGACTCATTAAGTTTTGTGAAAACCTTTTGAAAAACCATATAACCCTTAAGGCGTGTCGTCCATCCTAAGAAGTTACACATACTAACCATAAGAAGTCTTAGTCAGGACAGCCCTTTGCCAAAATTGCATCAAATTGCTTTTCTAAATATCCTAATGTTGGCCAATCACTAAAACACTTAGATAGTATGAACGCGTTGAATCGGTGATTAATAACTCAAAACCTACATGGATGATATCATAAGTAAATTGAAAAGAAATTACATATTCTTACTAAGGCTCGTGGTCTCACCCTAGCAAACGAAACTAGTTACGAATAATCATAAAACAAAATATTATTAAAAACATGGATTAAAACATCTTGTAGGTAAAAAGTCTAAAATTCTCCAAAATAATGCGCTCTTCTCTCCCTCTTCTCCTAAACCCTAATGGCTAAAAAGCCTTATTTATATCACTTCAAAATAAAATCCATACTAGAAAAGGTCTTATAAAAACTAAGAAACATAATAGAATAAGTTAATTAGGAAATAAAATAAAATATTATTAAAAACATGGATATAAAACATCTTGTAGGTAAAAGGTCTAAAATTCTCCAAAATAATGAGTTCTTCTCTCCCCCTTCTCCTAAATCCTAATGGCTAAAAAAGCCTTATTTATTCCACTACAAAATAAAATCCTTACTAGAAAAGGTCTTCTAAAAACTAAGAAACATAATAGAATAAGATAACTAGGAAATAAAAAAATTTCTATTTAAACTGAAATTCGGACTGTAGAGAAAATCCATCTTTTGACCAACAAAATCTACTTCAATTTGGTCCCAAAATGTCTCTTTTAAAAGCTTAAGATGTTCCTAACAAATCCTCAAAAGGAATCTTCCTCAAAATATACCATCTTGACCTTCAAAATACCCAAAATGTCCAGAAACGTCAATTTGGGAAAGCAACGCGCCGGACCTTTATTTCATTGCCACGGTCAAACTGCTTCGTAGAAAAATGTGGAATTTTGATACAATCATCTTGAAACACTCACGAACATCCTTCAATTAGAATCACTCCAAAATTCATCCGTTTGATTACTTTTTGCTCAAGAGAAAGTCGAATGTCCTATATTAAAAATACATAACAAAGTTATACCAAAATAACCAATAAATTATAACTAACATTAGGGTAAAATATAAAGTATAAAATCGACACATCAAAATACCCCAAACTTAGCTTGTTGCTTGTCCTCAAGCAAAACAAAACTCAAAAACAAATTAAAAACTAACAAACTACAAACTTAAGCAAAAGACAATTTTCAACTTCAAGTCGCAAGCCATGGAAAATGTTAAAAATTAGAACATCTTTTCAAAAGTTCCAACCAATCCCACTACAAAGTCTAAGCCATTCATAATCAATTAGGGAAAAGAAAAAAAAAGAAAAACTAACAAAAAGTCCTCAAAAACTCTAGTTTTAATGAAAATGATAAAATAAATGTGTAAGTGAATAGTACTAGGAGTGACTTTTCAAGGTAAAAATGTCATTAACATTAAAAGTGAATGGTACCAAGAGTGTTTCGTTAAAATTCCAAAAAAAAAGAAATTCATGAACTTCTTTTGGTGTAAAGTGAACCAACATGGTTAAGAAGACTCGATTAAAATCCCTAAAATCCCTACCTTTCGTCCTCTTTATTTAATACTTCTACACATACTATCTTAATATATATTTTTTTTTTCTTTTAGATTTTTTTTCTTTTTTATTTTTTTTTTTCAGTAATAGTAGTGGCCGTGCAATGTCAATTCCCTTAAGCTTTCGATCCAACCCATGTAATGAGCCTTAGGTCAGTTCCCTGACAACTACATCAATTTCTTGATAGGATTTTTCAAGGTTCTAATTCCATACAAAACATAAATATGCATAAACAAAGTTAGCTGTCAGATAGCTTTGTGATCGTGATCAGGTTCTCCCAAAAATGAAAGTTATTTGAAAAAAAAGTCACTGGTATACTCAAGTTTGAAAGATGGATGAGTACCTTCCAACGCCATGGATTGAACTCCAAGTGATCCTTGAATGTGTTGGAAGTTAAATGAAGAGCATGGGTAACAAGCAAAATCGTCGAGCCAACTGGTATTGTGTATCCTTCAAAGCATTACAAGTACTTTTATGTATGAATTAACAAAGGGCCCAACCAATTTGAAATTGAGGACTTACCCTTTACTGGGATATCTTTCACTGCTTTACGAAACAAGCCTAGCATAGGGTTACTCAGCCTGAGTTTCATTGACAACCTGTATTTTTCCAAAGTCAAGCAAGTTATAACACTTTCATATATATACTACTGTTCAAGGTAGCACAGAACATGTTGAGCTCAAAGAACTGACTTGAAGGGTAAAATTCATCGATTTATATCGTCCCATGTAAGTGCAGAATTTTGGTCTTATCTATTTTTGAGAAGCGCCTCATGCTCAGCCTGATGATAACTTATTATAGTCTGACATAGAGAAGATGGGAACATTTCAATATATATGTAGAATGCCTAACTTACCCGGCAACTTACAATCCGGGAGATTCATTCAGGCCACGCCTTTGCCTGATAATAACTCCACCAAATGAAGGCCCAGTTGTAATCACGGCGTTAGTAGATACTGGTGCCTCCATATCTACTATACACAGCATATGCCTTCTTAGAAGCTGTTGGATTCCCACACAAGCCTCATTCATGTCGGCATCAGGAACTTTTCAATCACAAGCTTATTAAGCCTCTTCTATGTTCGCTCATGGACTCCCTTACCCATGGACATTCTTTCTACCAGTATGACCATTTTACAACAGGATCGCTACTCTCTACGATGACTCAAGCTAGAATAGATACTTAGACAAGAAAGGTTATACAAACAAGCTCTCTTTTTAAGTTTCCAAAAAACAAAAACAAGCTCTCTTTACTGATATCAAGTATCTTAAAATGCTTGGTGAACCAAGTATGAATGCTCAACTAGGTCTGAGGAATACAAAGCACAAGCACACCTATTTATAGGCCAGGGAGGAAGTCTCCCGAGCCTCACTTAGGAGACAAGATGCATCATCCTCTTTTGACATTTTCCTACAATAATAGAAGAGTGTCTCCTTTTATAACTCATCACACTTTACTTTAGTCATACTTATACTTTACAACACATAGATTCTTTACTTTATGTCACACCATACTATTCTAAGATACTTCTTATTTGGTTGTCACTTCACGTCTTGTCGGTGTCACATGTCGGTGATTGCTTGCTAGAATCTTCTAGAATAATCTCATGCATGTTTGAACTAGAACAATCTAGTTCCTTTGCACCTGACCTTGGACTGGGTTTAATGGGCTGGTGTTGATCTTGAACAAAATATTGTAACGCATCCGGTTTTGGATGCACAAGCCGGTGCAGGTTTGCCGGTGCCTTTGCCTAGGAATACGTTTGTTTTGGTGTATCAAAAGAGATTGCAGAGGAATAGAAGCACGGTTGCGTCTAACCGAAGAAAGGACATCCTTGTTTGAAAACAATGTGGATCTACTTGCATATGCTTCTCTGAATCCAAGCGCCCCCTAGTAGCTGAAAAGAACAGAGAGAGCTTCTCGTCATTCTGTTAGTTTCTTTGGTTTCATTTTCAGATGGCTTCCAATAATTCAAGGGAACCTACTGTATCTCCCGAACGGTTGTCCGCCTTCGCCTACGAAGGCGCCTTCCATCGTTTACAATACGATTTGAGGCATTAGCCTTAACAGTAGAATTCTGTATGATGTTAATCAAACCGTCCCCAGGTTACTGATAGCTGTACTATGCTTAACCCAATCTCAGGCCACATAACCCAATCTCATCAAATCGGAAACTTTAAACAGTGGGACTCTTGCATATTCTTTATTACTGAATCGCTATTAGGATCAATTCCGATTATTCCCGAATAGGGTAAAAAAAAAAAATATTGCATATCGACAGATGTAGGATAACCTACCAACAGTGTAGAAGAAACCATTATAAACCAGACCATGTGACAACGTTGGGTAATCAACAGTCTGAAGTATAGCCCAGGTAAACGCAATTGACATGTTCCCCGTCAATCAGTCCAGTTTACCAATTACGGCATCAACGACCTCTTGGGTAGTGCTGACTCCTCCGAGATCTTTTGTCCGATACTTGCCTTCTAATATTACTCGCTTCACCGCTGTTTCAAGTCGATCAGCAAATGAAGGAAACTGGAGATGCCTCAACATCATTGCTGATGATAGAAGCAAAGCAACTGGATTGGCCTTCTTTTGCTCCCACAACTTTTCATTTCCGACATTTCCTGCCGAAGCACCTTGCTCAAAAACAGCATGATCAGCACCCACATTTCCTGTAGTTACCAAAGAGATAATGAGGCACTTTTTAGAAGAAACCGACTACAAGAACAAGATATATTATAAGTGGGGTTCAGCGCTTAAAGCTAGCAAATGATCTTTCTTCTATCAAGGGATGAAGTAGATATATCATGACAGTGTTGATTAAAAAACACAACTTAAACAATCGGTATAAAATTTGCAAGGCCTGGAAGCATAATTTAATCAATTAAATTAAACAAGAGTTTCTACCTCCTGGCATGACACCGGTGCCTCCAGCAATACCAGCTGCCGTATTTGCCACTAGATTTCCATAAAGATTGGGAGTGACCTGCAAGACATGAAACAACCTCTGTAAATGGGACAGGAAAAAAAGTAGCACATATAACCAACCGTGAAGTTCGAAACCAGGCAACATCTATTTTAAATTTCAATAGACAACTCATTTTTAGCTCAACGACATAGATAGGTGTTTTGGCTAAAATGAAGAGCAAGCATGAAGCATCCGAAGCTGAGGGTTGGGCCCAGATCAATACGTTTTCTCAAATGCAAGATGATCTAATAAACAGAGCCTTTTGCCAGTGTGGGGTCTGGGAAGTGCCACATGAACAGTCTTACCATTTTGTGGAAAGGATACTTCCCATTTGGAACCCAGATTACAAGGGCAAATACCAAGTCCTAGATTCAATTTACCCTCCCCACCAGCTCCCAAGGAATAGAAAAAACCAAGTTCATGATCAACATATGAAACAAGAAGCAAACTCATTAGAAACACAAGATTTTGATCCAAGTTAAAACAGCAGAACTAGGAATTCACATTAGGAAACAAGGTATGAACAGACTATTGGACTATTCGTGTTTTATTCAACTATATGAATCCAGGCTGATATTTCACTTGAGCGCATCCATATTGTTCTTCTTTTCCCGGCTTTAAATAGAGCATTACTATCTTTCTATGCTTACTTCTCGACCTACCACACCAACTCCAAATAGACATCAGACTTGAAAAACTCAGTCAATGTTTTGATGTGACTCACAGGTTTTAAACTCTCAAACTCTTTTCCATTTACTCTTTTACTTCTTCATAGGTTATCACAATAGCATAATACCTACAAGAGCTACTAGCCCAAAGTGTAGCTCAATGCTGGCCGGTCTTGACTTTTTAGGCACCAATAAGGTTGACAAGCCCAAACTATGAAGTAATTCTCCACTTAAAATACATAATTTCTTCAAACCAAAACTAATAGTAAAAGAGAATGTCTAATTTGCATCATCAGTTGGCGTATGAGCCTTTGCAAGATTCTCAACAGACGATTCTGACATATCACAAGCACCTAATATTTCATCTTATATCCAGCCTTTGTATTACGGGTCAAACCCGATCTGAAGCATATAAGAAGATAAGAATAGAACCACTTCTTGACTAAACATTAGAAATGGCTTTCACAATTCAAATCATAGATACATCTCACAAATTCACAATTCAGATCACAGAAACTCCAAAGCTCGAAACTTTTCACATTGGCATCGTTTCAACAGCCAAATAATATTTAAAGGCGAATACCAGTAATTGCAAATTCATCACAATCCAGTCAACTGCAGTCAACCAAGTATTTCCAATAATTCCTAGTCGCAGATCATCATTCCAAGAAATCTGAACTTTGCTTAAAATCGAATCAACCCAAGTTCAAGATGCCTTTGCTAAAGCGTAAAAGGAAAATAGAACAGGGTGAGATGAAAATTAAATTACTTGGCAGCCGCCCCATCTAGGCAGCAAGTCTATTCCAATGCATTTTTTAACTAACGTCTTATTAGTTATTCCAAGCTCTTAAATACAAGAGAGAAGGACAGAATTTGTTACTAAACAAACTCCTAATCACTAGGCAGACACATCTGCCAAACAAAATCCTAGTAACCGATGTCAGACCAAGTCCAAAATTAAACCAAATTATCCACACTTAGTCAAAGCAAAAAATAAAACTTTAATCATGCCACACATCCACACTCCACATATAAAAACCATATTCACAAAACAGAATTCTGAGCTGAAGTCGCATTACCATCACATCAAATTGCTCGGGCTTCGAAACAAGTTGCATACAGCAATTGTCCACGATGATTTCATTGTAATTAATACTTGGGTACTTTGTAGCAACCTCTCTGCAGGACTCCAAGAACAACCCATCAGCCAGCTTCATAATGTTGGCTTTGTGCACAGCAGTCACCTTCTTCCTGTTGTTCAAATAGGCATACTCGAAAGCGTACTTGGCGATTCGCTCCGAGCAGAACTTGGTGATCACCTAACACATTCACAATCAATTCCCAATTTTCAAAAAACTGCAGAGCTAAAGATTGAATTTTGGGTTTTTGATTACCTTGAGGCTCTCAACGACGCCAGGGACGACCTCGTGCTCGAGCCCGGCGTATTCGCCCTCGGTGTTCTCTCTAATTACGACAATGTCCACGTTCTCGTGGCGGGTGGGGAGGCCGGGTAGGTTGAAGCAGTTTACTAGCGAAGCGTACAGGTCGAGCTCTTTTCTCAGCTGCACGTTGAGCGAGCTCACGCCGCCGCCCACCGGAGTCTTCAGCCCGCCCTTCAAGCACACCTTGTTTTTCCGGATCGACTCGATCACCTCCGGCGGGACCCGCTTCATGTCGCCGTGGACGTCGTAGCGCTCGAAGTACACGGGGGCGTGCATCGCTTCCATGACTTGCTCGACGGCGTTGGTCACCAGCGGGCCGATTCCATCGCCGGGGATCAGGGTTACGGGCCGAGGGGCACCGTCGCCGGGTCGGGGCATGTAGGTGACGGATCGGGTGTTCGGGACGGGTTTGGGAAGAAATGGTGCCGGCGTGGGGCGGTGCGTGAGGTTTTTAAAGATCGGGAGGGTCCGGCGGGCCATGGCTGAGGGTTAGGGTTTTGGGTTTTTCTGGACGGAGTAGGTTGTCGGATTTGCGAAGGGTCGACTTTAGCTGCAGAGGAGTTGAAGTTGAGCGGGCGAATGACTAGGGAGGGGAATCGGAAAATATGAGGACGTTGGAGGACTTTTTTGCAATAATGCCACGTTCTAATTTGCATTTCTGGGTGGACTAGGTTTGACTTGCCTTATTGTCCTAATAATTTCAGTGCTCCTTTTTTGAAGGGTACATGCCTAAATTTGTTGGAGGCCCTCCTAATCTCTTTTCCTTTCATTTTCCTCTTATATAAAAAATTACAGTTAAATCACATTAACATCTTATATTGATTTTTTATAAAAATAATAAGATAAAAAACAAAGTGTGAAAGAAAGAGAGGAAAGAGAATGAAAATAAAAAGAAAAAGAATCTAAGACCTCTCACTTTTCTGTACCATTTCACATGCATTTCTTCCGCATCATTCTCTTCACTAGGGGTAGGTTCGGTTCCGTTCGGTTCGATTTTTTGCAAAAATCAGAAACCGAATCGAAATTACTGTTCGGTTCGGTTCGGTTCGGTTTGTATTCGGTTCGGTTTCGGCCCGGTTCGGGTTTTTTTTTTTTTTTTTTTTTTTTTTTTCCCCCAAGTAGCTTAAAAAAAGTATATGAAAACAACTTGCATCCATTTTTGTAATAAGTCCTATTTCAACATAATCGTCAAGACTCAAAATAAGCATTCCAAATTTCTAATATAATCATAGTCTCAACTCAAAGACAATGAAAATAAACATTCAATTCAAAGTTTAATTATAATCAAGTGTTCCAAAGTCCAAAGTTAAATAAACATCAAAGTTTAAATCTTCCAAAAGTCCAAACTTAAAATAAACATCAAAGTTCAAGTATTCCACATCTAAAAGACTAAAATAAACATTCCAAATTTCAACTTTCAAGTGCCCTACAATGAGAGTGATCCACGTACTTTTTCAACGACAATTTGCTTGCTAACGCTTGGGTGGCCTAGGGGGCAACATATCACCTTTTTTTGAACTTCCACTTGCCATTTCTACATAGAAATAATAAAAGAAAAGATACTAATTAAAATGTTATTTAAAATAATCTAACAAAATCAAATGCAATAAAGGTTTAAGGGTTTTGTTAAAAAGATTAAAAAATTAAAAATAACCTCACAAATCCTGAAGGCATGAGGGTTCGAACCCATGCCTCCAGCTTGTAAAGTTTCATTGAAACCAACTTGGCAACAGGTTCTGTTTTGTTATAATTGTATGACTAAACTATTTATAAATATTCAAAAAAAGTATATATATATATATATATATCGGTTCGGTTCGGTTTCCGAGCCTCAAAAATCGAAACCGAACTGGTCAGATTTGGTTCAGTTCGGTTTGAAAATTTCGGTTCGGTTTTTTTGCGGTTCGGTTTTTTTCGGCCTCGGTCCGGTTCGGTTGTCGGTTTTTTTCGGTTTTCGGTTTTTTGAACCCACCCCTACTCTTCACCCTCCTATATCCTTATTGATGCCTACAATCTTTATTGTATTTTCTATGTATTTTTAACAGAAAGTAAACTAAAGGGAATGATAAACCCGTCATTATACTCTTACACTCATTTGTTTAATCATTTTCGTTGTTTTCATTTGATCTATTAACTAAAATTACTAGAAACAAAGAAGAGTAAGATCAGTAAAAATTCGTCTTTAGAGAGACACCAATAAAAATTAAAATATCATATTACAAAGTTCAGTTTTTAGAGAAACATCAACAAGAATTAAAGGGTAAGATCGGTAAACTCATCTTCCAACCATAGAAAGTACACATCAATGAAATACAGAAGTATGTGATTCTGAAAACTTCTGGTTATAACAAAATATAAAACTGGTTTCTTCTTGATCCCGATAGAAAGTTGACGAATCTCGTATGGAACCACCGTGCAGACCTTACAAATAAAACCAGAGAGCATAGCAGTCCTCTGCAGATTCATCCACATGGTTTCTTAGCTTCTCACAATCATCTTTCAGGTGTAAATAACAACTAAACTGCAGGATTTACGTATCAATGAGTTGAAGGAGGAGGAGGAGTAGGAGCACCACCCAATCCCATTTTTTGCCCCAGTACTGCGAGCTGCTCCACAAACTCCTGACCTGTGAGTATTTCTGTTGTTCCGTATATAACATGCTTGACAGGTTGCTGACGCTGCCCAAGCTCTTGTAGGCTCCCGTACTCCACATAATTACCACCTCCAATCATGAAGACGATAGCTTCCTTGAAAGGTCCTTTTAAATGGCTGCTACCTATTCCTGAGCTTGACTTCGGAGCACGAGGATCAAACACAAGATAGGAATCAATTTCTGGATTCGGCCTCCCCTCCACCAAGGCCTCCACTGTTCTTGTTAGTGCTAGCTGCCTATCATTGGATAAAAGATTTTTCACACCTGCTGTCACGGCGCTTATTGATTGCCCATAAAGTTTCTCTGCCCAATCGACTATGTTACTTCTGTTAGCAGAATTTGCTGATGCCAGTGAGACATTCAGCGCCTTGATCTTCTTCACATACTGAAATGCACTGGTATCAACCTCAGATTCCCTGAGGGCTGCTTCCACTGCTTCCACTTCTTGTTGATTAATGGTTTCAGAAGAAATAAGATACATGATTGAAAACCGCAGCTTATCCATCTTACTCCCTTTCCCTCTAAGCACAGCTAAAAGTTCGCTGCGATCAATGCCTCCTCTAACCATCATGTCATACTCCTTTTTAGCAAAAGAATCGAGCAGTCTCTCTTTGATCTCACTCAACAACACAGTTGCAATGTTGGTGTGCTTATCAATCACCTGCTTCCGCGCAGTCAACTCTGGCAATGAGTTCACTGCACTCATCAAATGTTTTGTGTTCCCAATCATGTGTGTCCCATCAAACTCAGCTCCATCATTCCCACCAGTTCGTCTATTGACCTCATCAACATCCCTCTTATACTTATTCAATTGGGTCTCAATCTCTACTGCTACTTCCGGAAATTCTAGAGACCCATTTGCTACCCAAAAGGGATCTGAGCTATCTAACTCATAAGACTTCATCCCACCCTTATCACCTTGAACATTCAACCTATTAAGCTTCAATCCAAGAATATCATGCACCAAGGGCCGGTACCTAAAATCATGCTGTATTCCCACAGATAACTCAAAATTACGGTCAAATATACACAATATGGGGCGCTGGAAAGAGCTCACGAAGTTTCCACCTTCAGTAAACAGATTGTTCTTCGACAACAAGTGGTCACGAAGTCTCTGATCCAATGCTGATGCTACCATCTCAGCTGGACCCCCACGAGGGCACCTGATAATTGGCACAACAGCAAGAGTAGCCAAAACGCAGAACAAGCCACCAACTATCTTTTCAATAATCTCCTCAATCTCACGGTCCCCTGCCTTGGGATCATTTAACTGAACATAAGTGTTCTTCTGTGCCAACGAGAACAAATTATCTTCCAGTGTAACAAACTCCAAGTACTGATCATGCACCTTTGAAATCCGATGAATTGAATCTGAATTCAAAGTCCCAGATGCCAGATCCTCGAGCAGTGGGCGGGGAATCAAGGACGAGAAGTTCAGATGGAAGCTATCATACAGCGAGTTCGAAGTGTCAGCAATGATCCTCTGAATGTTGGAATGGCTGGGTTGCACAAAGTAGACAGCAGGCACATCAAGGACGGGTTTTCGGTCCTTGTCAATCAGGAAGTACAGGGTCACACCGTGCTTACGAAGGTCCTTGACATGGATCAAGGGGGAGAGTATGTTTTGGCAAAACTTATCATAGATCAAGATCTTATAGACCTCTTCATTGGCCATACCGGTTGCATTAACGGGTTGGTTCAGATTCAGCATGCGGGTAATACATTCTGGATCCACAAACCACATATCAAAATCAATAATTTACACAAAACCCGAAACAATTATGCAGAATTAAACAAACCCAATCGAGCAAATTAAATGAAATTTCGTCACAGCTCTGAAACCAATATCACAGATCAAACTCAACGCACAAAACCCACATAAAAATAAACACATTTCATCAATTATAATAGTAATTCCGGTAATAATTCATCTGGGTTTTCTCTATTAGCTAAATGGGTTATCGATTCAATCCAGTATTTTTCAATTTTTGCTTCCTTGGTTTGATTGAGGCAGAGAGATCTGGAGAGAGAAACTAAAAGGGCAAAAGAGTAATTTTACCTGTTTGCCTCTGCCGCAGATTGAGTGCCATGGCCGTGAAATCTACTTCCTCCGGCGAAGCAAAGACTCACAGATCCACTCTCACTAGCAATTTTCTGTTCGCTTCAAATTTTATGAATTCCAAACAGCTCTGCAAATGTGAGGGTCTATATTGTTCGTATACAGCCGTTATCAGAGGAAGATTTCTATGTAGCTAATAGGAGACCGCCACGTCACTTATAATAAAATTATGTTCATTGGTTGAGGCCCACCAATAAAACAACATACACGTAAGTGGAGGGTGTGAAGAGGAGAAGGAGAGGAGTGCGGTAGCGGTGGGTGTGGAGATGGCGGAGACGACGCCGTTTCTGAGGAACAGATACCGGGTGCCGACTGCTGAGGCACGGCAAGAGCATTCCGAATGAGAGAGGCATCGTTGTTTCTTCCATGGTTGTTTTTTCTCTTTGCCCCCTCAATTTTCCTTAATTACCTGTTTGGCCCTGTAGTTTTTGAGTATTTAGAATTTGACACAGGAAAATGGTACCCGCCCAGAATATCAGTTGGCGCCAGAAGGTGTAAGTCGGGCACAATCATCTGGACAATCATTCCAAAAGGCAAAAGGTACTATTTTCTGCTTTAAGATTTTAATCATTTTGCAATTTGTTTCACATTTCAAAAAGTATGAATCTTTATGTCTGCAAAATTCATGGAAGTTAGGAAATGTGAATTAGGGACTGAAAATTTGGTAGGGTTGAAGATTTAACCGAAAACCGGAATGTTGATGGAAAGAAGAAATGGGAGTTTGAGTAGTTTGTAGATGTGCACTGTGCAGGTACTTGAGGAAAAGAACATACCACTTGATAGTGTTCGGATTTGCTACTCCCGTTTTCGAGAACAACTCACACGGCTCAAGTTGTTGCATCTGTCTTGAACACTGCATTTCAGGGTGCTCAATGCAAGGTAAGATAGTCCTCGAAAAACCACCAAAAGGAACGCTAGCTTGATTGGTTTCTGCTTGACAGGAGCGCGGCTGATCGATTTTGTAACGAATGTAATTACACTACAATGGTCAAGACTAATTCAAGATTTCAAACCTGTGATTTTTTTTTCCATTTGTTGGTTTTCTGGACAGGTGATGGAAAATCTTCGTAAATGCTTCTTTGGTCCTTTGTATGACTCATGTCACACGATAAAGTAAGTCCATTGGTGTTGGTGTAGTTTTTTCACTGATTAAAGTGGCAGATTGAAGGCTTTGTCTATATTGTTGGGTTTATAGGTGGTGCTAACTTATTATGATCATCTCTCGTAATTCTGTTCTCCCCTTTGCTGATAGTATCACGACATATGGGCTCTTGATGAGAAAGATCCACTCATGAGACCGGCAGAGGGAGGAGAAAGCGTCGATGATGTTGCGTGCAGACTTGCAGAAGCAATGGAAACTATGGAGTCACAATTTCAAGGGTGTGTGTATAAATACGCGTTTTCTATTCCAGCATTGTAGTCATGTTTGCAATACATCTATCTTAATTATAGAAACATCTTATTCTTATGCTCTACATTGCATATCATCGGGCACTTTGGCATTGCAAAGACATGAAATAAAATGTCTAGTTGTGGCTGCGGAACTCAAAAAGCCTATTTCCGAATAATTTCTACTTAAAGAAAAAAGAAACATCCGTCGACCTTAAGAATTCAAAAATAAGGATGAAAAACTTGTAGCTGTAATTACTCAGTTTGTTTGCGGTTCTTGAGAGATTATTCAATTCAGTTTCTCAGTTGAGAGGTTTTTTCTGTTAGTTGTACAAGACCGTCGGTTTATCCTGCTGTGTCACGGCTTTCCACTTTTAACTGCCATAAGGTTAAATCAAATCATACCTTTTCTTGCCTGCGTACTAAGTGTGACTTTGTCTGTTACATGTGTTTGTTCAATCTACAGGTGCACGATCTTAGTTGTTAGTCACGACGATACCCTACAAATCTTGCAGACAATACTCAATGCTGCCAAGCTAAACGCAGGATCCAGTCACACTGATCTGTCATCAAGAATTCAAGCGGTTCGAAACCCTCTCATCTTATCACAGCACTGGAAATTTTCCCTGCTTACTGCAGAGCTCCGGGCAGTGATATAAGTATCATCTCTGAAGAAACTTTCATCTTTCGTTTGTAGTTTGGCAAAAACTAAGATTATGGATAGTGTTAGTTGTAATTTTGAAGGATTAAATGAAGTATATACATGGCATGAGCTAATTAAGAGCATGTTTGCCATCACTTTGAAATTTTTCGTTGCTCGCCACATTTATGATCAGATTTGTTCACACTTCGGTGATATATACAACTCATCACAGTGGCTTTGCCTTGATTGACCATTTTTGAACAATGCTTGAGAATTGGGGGCCGGAGGAGATGTCAACTCCGGGCTCCGGCCTCTTACAGGGCCGACTCTGATTAGGAGAAACTTTTCGGTGTGAAAATCAAATGAAGATAATACAAATACAATGAGGACCTCTAATACTACTTGGAGGCTAGTTTATTTACTTGACTAAGATAAACTTTTAGTCCTTGAGATTAAAATTGCAGCTCTTGCATATGACAGAGAACAAAAGGTAAGAGATTGAGTCACCTTCTCTAACAAAAAAGAGAATTTTGATTTCAGCTGTTACAATTACCGTCCTCAACGTAAATGCGTAAATTACATACCCTTATAAAATATTTCATCTAACTTAGATACCATTTACATTTTTTACGCCCCCAACAAAAAAGTGGCTCCGAGGCGACAGTTCTCGCCATCCTCTATGAATCAAAAAGAACGAAAAAAGGGAAAAGGCAACAGCTTCAGATGAAAATATCGCTGAGCAAATAACAATGGACAAAACCCACGGGCCACAGCATCCCAAGAGACAATAGCCATGACCTTTCTTCAGTCTTTGGTTACCCACCGACGGCCTCTTACCTGAAACCCACCATAACTCTGATCACTACTGCTCTCTCCCCCGCTTTCTGCACTAGCATATCCAGATTTGCGGCGATGAGGCCTCTTTACCCTTGCAACCCCACTGTCACTCATGCTTCCATTCAAGAGAGGGTCGTCTATCCCACGAATCACCTTCCGTGTAGGTGATGCTGATATACAACTGTCATCCTTTGCCTTTCGTTTCTCCTTGTCATGTTTCTTAATGTTTTGGGAGATCTTGTGTAGCTTCTCGTTGAACCTGGTGAACCCCTTCTCTACCGGCTCCACTGCCTGTGTTACTGTGAACTTCACATCTTGCACAATCTGTATTCCACGCAAAGAGCAGATTCAGAACCCAAACTAAAAAAGCCTACACCATGACCCACAATCAACTGGTTTCATGTAGACACCAACTATCTTTCAGTTCAAAAGATGGTTGGACATATTGAAACATATTAGAGAAAAAAAGAACAGTTTCAATCTGAAACATTTGTATCCGTTCTTTTCCGCATACAGTTATCACCTAACCACAGACATCAATTAGCAGCCTTCGCAATTTACACATGTTTTCAGTGTCTTACGGTGCACATCCAATATCAACAGCAATCTACAAATCTTATTGGCTATACCAAGGTGTAACACTAGTTGTTTTAATATATATCAAAATAACCCTTTCAACAGAAGCTATGTTCCAATGTTTTTTGACATAATGTACAACTGAATAGATACTTACATATCCCCCGCCACCAATGAAAACGTCCCGAACACTCTCTCTGATGGTCATGCCACTCTTGGCATCAATGTTAGGAGTGGGGAGGCGTAGCTTTGTGGGGCGTTCACTGTCCCTAACCTCCTCCGGATCCAAAGGACAGTCAGCCGATACATAGTCTCCAAGAACAGAGACAGTTCCAGGGAAACGATCTCCCATCGTCTCATAAGGTTTGGCAGGAAAAACATATAGGTGAACAACAGAAGCAATGCCCATCTGTGCAGGGTGAAAACACAGAACTGTCAAACTAAAATATGTTGCATAAAGATGGTAAAATGAATAAATCTTTTGTCGCGTAACCTATGTAACATTATTGAGAAATGTAAGACAGTGTAATACAGAATACTACTAGCAGAATAAAATGAGAATTGAGAAGAAAAAAAAACTATTAGTCATGATTTTGTCGACCGATTAACCCTTAATTTTATAGCAACACCTTCAGATGAGGAATAATAATCTCTCAAGACCAAATCAACTCATAAAGTTTTAAGGAAGAATAGATTACCATTTAAAAGACTACGACATAAATAGTCAGTGAAAAGACACAATTATGGCATGCAAACTGTGTTACCCAATGAAAGATTCTACCTCTATAGAAATGATGAAGTCTTGAACACTTGACTTAAACTGCAAGCCTTCAGCTATAGGGCTTTTGAACAAACCCAAGGCATAGAGAAGAGCAATTGCCACACCTTGCCACCATGTCAAAAACACAATTGATTTAAATGTCAAAAACTTGGCTAACGGTTTTATGCGAGCTAGTTCATCTTTTGTAACAGTGTAAAACTGAACAAGACAGTACAAAGCCCATGACTGACTAAAATTCAGAACCACCGCAATATAAAGATACCTGCAAGCACAAGAAAATTATGATGTTGAGATTTCTTTATGAGTTAAACTTCATTAAGTAATATTTATCCAATTCTTTTGTAGGAGAACGAGATATGTAGGGTATCAACAAAATAATAAGAAGGAAAATTGATAAGTCAAAATATCGCAAGCTCTTAAAACAGAAGAAGTAATTAGCAAAATCCCACAAGCTCTGATGCCATAACATAAGTCAAAGGTTCAAAGAAAGAGGCTATGGCTACGGAAACTGAGGTCTTGACAGGCCTCTCCTGCTTGTTTTCAAAATACATACTTTAAAAGAACTAAAGCAAGATCACGTGACCATTTTGCGTCTCTATCAATTGACAAACCCGTAAACATTGCAACAGGCAAAAAAAATGAGCTATCATATGTTAACCACCATCTACAGTGTGTTTAGTGAGATTTTAGAGGTTATTTCAACATGCAGAATTCCTGAAGATTCATTTCTAGGTATACAACATATACCCAAAACTTTCAAGTCCCTAAGGAGCGTCTACTTCACATGCAAATTGACACAATCAATACATAATCAGTATAAGTAACATGCAAGAGTTCCATGAGAAATTCAATACTTAATAGTTCAAAAAGCTTCTTAGGGGCCAAAAAATAAGACTTATCCTATCAAATATATCACATGATAATTTCAAATTACAAATGCTTTTCCTATAATCATTTGAGATTCTCTTACCCACATCCCCATTTAAATTCACCTTCACAGTATACACCAAAAGCTTCAAGGATAACTGCTACAATAGCACTGAGAGACTTAATTAACATCTGTCCAAGAATAAAAAATGAATTTATGTTATATAAGGGAAATGGAATTAGAGAACAAGAAACAATGGCCAGTACAAAAAATAAAATAAAAATTCTCTAAGTGATGGTAAACATACATACTGAACAATTCCAAATTTGACAACTTGGTACAACCATTGGCCAAGTTTCCATGGCTTCAAGATATAGTTCATTGGAAAAGGATGTTTAACAGTTCCCATTTCAGAACTGTGTTCTAATAGGGGAGTCTTAGAACTTGCACGTCCTTCCCTTTCCATGAATTCAACAGTCCTCTCTTCCCCACCTTAGCAAGAGAAAAATATATATATATAAACGGGCAATGTCAAAAGCAGAATAAATATAAACTACGGAAGTAAAGAAGTTTCTTTATCTATTAAAAACGAAAGGACTACAAACTGCAAATGAAAAATATCCTGGATAGATATGTACCCCATCAAACAAGGATTATTTGAAACTACCACACATACACTAAGTTAAAGATGGCAACTGTGATAATTCTACATGATTGTCATATGATTGGCCCTGAACACTTAAAACCCTAAGATTGTGCAGAAAAGGTATTTACTTGTCTGTGCATTGGCCCTGGAAACTTAAAATTTTAACATTGGCCCTGATGTTAGATTCTTATATGCAGAATAGATTTATTTGTGCATGGAGAGAGAGAGAGAGAGAGAGAGAGAGAGAGAGAGAGAGAGAGCTGAATGTGTATGCAAGAACAGCCAAAGAACATTTATTATCACATTGCAGCCAACAGGCCAATCCTGCCATGAACAGTGCAATCTTGTCCACAATCAGAACAAGATTGTCAGTTCAATAACCATGTATTAGACATGAACATGTACTTCCAAAGCTTTTGTGAAATTCAAGTTTGAGATCCAAATAACCATTTAATGTATTATGACATTCCAAACCCATCAAAATTGAATTTTAATGAGCATGTTAGCTAAAGTGTCTATAGATAAACAATGGTGCCATAAAAGTTCTTGAAAGGGACATACCCAAGCATGCAACCAGGTACCTTCCAAAGCAATACATGGCAAAGGATTCATAGCAATCCCGTAGAATCTCGCAATAAACGCTTATCGAAGGGTTCAATAAAGATACTAACTGAAAAGAACACCAAATTAGAATCTGGAAAAAAAAAATACCAAATATCAGAGGAAGAGTACTTTTCTGTCTGTAACACAGGCATACCTGTACATCTAATTCAATAGTAAGAAACAACGATCACTTTCAAATCTAATACAAGAACTTAATCTTCCCAAATTAACAGAAACTTAATGAACAGTACATGTATATTCAACTCATTATCTTCCCAATGTGTCCAAAAGAAACATGGATGTTTGTGAACCAAACAAAAACAAATCACAATTGAAAAATTCATCATCTTTCGTATGTTAAATTTCAATTCACCGTTTACCATGCACATTAAGGTTTAAACAACAAACTACATATAAGGTTCTCCTAGGGAACCACAGGCACACGTCATATGTGCAGACACAAACACCATAAGTCCCCCCACCCCCTTTTTCCTGAACTACTTTTCCTACCCTTTCTCTCCCCTCTGTCCATTTAACACTTACTGTTAATGATCTACACTAATAACCATTGTCTAAAACAAGTGTGGGTTAAAGAAACTATATCTAAAGGACATTTAAGATTAATATATGTTCTACCTATAAACCCAAAGAGAGGCTTGAATAAAAAAAATACAAACAAAATTAAATTTCAAAAACAAAAATAAAAACTTACTGATTCTATTGCAAAGCACGGAACCATGAGGACAACACCAATTAAAAACTTTTGCTCCTGAAAGGGTCACACAAACCAAAATGTGAAAAATGCACCAGATAAACATTACAATAGAACCATGCATATTAAATACAATTTATGGGAATAAATACCTCAGGATTTTTGTATGCAGAAAGGTGCTCAAATACAAGATAAATTGAAAGGGTAAGAGTGATGAGTACAAATACACCACAAACTAGACTTGCCCACGTAGGAGGTGTGTAGGCCAACTGGGTAATGAATTCGAGAAATGGTGCTATCTTCATCAGCCGTATTTCCTTCTGACCAGCCTATATTCTCAAATATTGCCAGCATAATGGAATTATCAAATCACAAACATATGCATTAGGTGGTGAATCACCACAGACAACAGAATATGGACCTGTTCACCCAGATGATGAATAATAAGCATAAATTGAGAGCACAAATTATATAGATACCTAGCACACAACTTAATATAGATTATTCTCGCGTAGTATAAAAAGACAGAATGACAAAGAAACAAAATCGGTAAAAGGGTGCATGGAAAACCGAAAACAAATGCCATAATTTGTTCGGAGATCACCATTCCCTAAGCTCTAAATGAGTTACCATTACACCAAACCACTAGCATGCAAGTATTTAACTACGATGTTTAGTGCTTTGCAACTGAGTCATGATACTGAATCGAAAGAATAAAAAATCATATATTCTTGGACATTTTATCATGAGATCATACCACCACAATGCTCAAAATCCTAAATTAGTATACATTTGCATACGCAAAATATATGCTCGTCAATTCAGACCAACCCTCATACACCATACTCAGTCAAAACTTGAAGCTCAAATCAGCACAGGAAAAAATGCTAGGCATGTTCCCCCAAAAGTGAATATATCAGTCTTTGAGATGAGCAATAAAACCCCATCAACATTGTGCATTCAAGAATCATTTTTCTTTAATAAATAAAATAAAATAAAAAATCAGCTTTTTCGATAACCAATTCAATTAAACAGTTCAGAAGTCAACAGTGCAAAAAACAAAAATTAAGTCACTTTTTATATACATTTTAAATCAATTAGATCAATCAGATAACAGATAGAAGATGGAATTCCACAAAAACTGTAATAAAAGTCAACTCATTTAGGTACAAGTACTCCGAAGATTGAAGTCGAAAACATAAAAGGAAGTAAATTTAAATCATTTTTCCCACACTTTCCCAGCAACCAAACAGAGAATTAAGAAACTGAAAGCAGATGAACTGATTGGCGCAATCAATTTAACCAAAGAAATCCGATTTTACTACGGCGGGAGCAAATATGGAAGAAAAGGGTGAGAAATTACTTACAGAGAGAGCTTCGTCGACTTGGCCCAGAAAGCCAGAGAGGAGATCCTTTCTTATCACAGAATCAAATCAGCGTTATAAACCTCACGAAATTCGCATTACAGAAACCCATCTGAAACTTAACACGGACGCGGCACGTGACACTTTTTTCCAACGGAATAAGTGGAATGGCTATGTTTTTCTTCTTTTCTGTTTTTAGGAAAGTGAAAGTTGAAACTATAAAGTGTAAAACTGTAAAACACCAACGAGGTGTAATTTGAGAGATTTTAATAGATTTATAAATCTATGGATTTTTCTAGAATTTAATTGATTTGTATAAATTTTATGTAAAATTTTGATTTAATTTCCTCGAAATCTCATGAGGAGATGTAAGATTTGTGAATGCTTAAAATACAATACAAAATCTCTTCAATTCTCTCTAATTCCTCAAAATTTTCAAATTCTTTAAATTCAAATTCTGATTAAATACATCATGACTGTTATAAACTTCTTTAAAATTTTAACTAAATACCCCTGGATTCATTAAAAGAATTAAAATCTCTCGAAATCCCAATTGAATACACTCCCATAAAACTGTGTAAAGCGAGAAATTTTTCATTCTGACGGAAACACAAGTGGTATACATTAATTGTTATGATAAAAATGATGGAAAATTTTATTTTTTAAGTTATTAAACTTTTAGTATATATATTTTATCATTTATATAATGATAGGTGACCAATCACCTTGAAAAATCTGAACCAGGATCCTCGCGGGATCCATTCCCTAGGGATTCTAGGGATCACGCAATTGTGTCCGTTTATCGTATATCGTGTGGCTAGTTTTCGTTAGGTACTATTTATATTTGAATTTTAAATTTTAAAGTTTAAATTATTTATGACCGTACAATATACGATGAACTGACAAGATTGCATGATTCCTAGATCTAGGGAATGAATCCGGCGAGGATCCTGGTTCGAAAAATCTAACGTGTGAAGCGGCGCGCAACGCCGCGTTTCGAGAAGATTTTAAAATTGAATAAAAGAGAGAAACACCGAGTTAGTCAACGTCACGCTCACAGAGAAAAAGAAAATGGAGAACTAGTGGTTCGCGCGAGTCGACTCGGCCCATACCGGAAAAGGTACTTCTCGGGCAATCCCTCCGCTCTAATCTTCCCGAAATCCCCAATTTTTGTCTTCCCTCTAACTTGCGACGACGGTTCGATGGTAGTCAGAGCGCTCTTGCGGTTAGTAATCAAGCGAGATGCTTTAAGCCGTGGTTAGCGGTTCATGTTTTCTTCATAATTCGTGCACTTTAATGTGTATCATAGACATTAGGCTACAACTAATCGTGGCTATCTTGTTCCTGATGATGTGCAAGAGGTAATATCTGGTTTTCTCTTTGTATTGGATTAAAAAGGAGAAGTTTGTGCGTTTAGATACATTGCTGATAAATCATGTGTGATAAATGTGTCTGGAACTTGAAGCCTATATATCTTTTGAAACTACTGTAATAGGAAGGTTGTTCCTCCTGGCCTCCGGCCTCTCTCTTATATGCTATTTCTTATCTGAACTCTCAATTGCTCAACTACTGTGACAGGCATTGGTGAAAATCGACTTCTTGCTGGACACTCCTGTAAGATGTGAGTGTCAAGAAGCATGAGTTCTTGTTCTCGACAAACTGATAGCTCAGTGTATGTTTTATCATGTTGAGGAAATTCCGATCCTACTTGGCTAAGATTAAGAGTCCTAATAACATGCAATTATATTCAAGTAACCTTATCAAGACTTGACAAGAGTTCAATACCTATGAGAACTATACAGAAACCCTAATCAGTTTGGAATATCCAAGGTATCAGTTAATAGGCCTGATATCAAGGGAGTATGGATATATATAGGGAGGTCCCTGCACTCACAGTATTATCCTATCTCGTGCTAAAACCCTATTTGATAGCAAGGACTATTGGCTGCTTGAGTGCAGAAGACTACTTATGAAACCCTAGCAGTCATGGCTTCTTCTTCTTCCTCCACTTCAGAAGATAAGTTTATTTCCCTTTAACTGTTTGATTGGTTTATTGTAATTGTTTTGGTTTTATCTGTGATCCTAGTAACTTGTTGATTTTCGAATTACTTCTTACAACTCCTGCTTTCTACAGAGTCTGGGAGGTATATCATCTCATTTGATTTTGAAGATGAAATTCAGAATCTCAACGTTGCTTGTGAAATTTGTTCCGTAGCATTGTTTTCTTTCACCACCAAGGATATGCAACTTTGTCTATAAAGAAACAAGAAGGTGGATGCGGTGCTTCCTGTTTAGTGATGGTAAGATTTGTTTCTTTACATACGGATCTATTGTAATCCTTTTGCTTGTCCGGTGGTTTGCTATGATGAAAGCTTCATTTACTCAAATATTATACCCCAAAAGAGAAATCTAAAGGCTTTATTCAAGGCTTGAGATGGTTTGATATCGCTTATTCATTATTGTGCAGAGCTTTGATTAAAAGAAGAAAGGAATGTTCAGACTAGATGACTTCGTATCTCTTTGTATATTTTTGCAGTCTGCTCGGTAGGTTGCGTTTCAATTCACAAAAGGTGTTTTAAACTTTTAATTCAGATTTAATGAGTCTCGTCATATTTCCTAAGTTAGGTTAGACAAATTACTCACTATAAAAGGTTTAGGTTGGTTGATCGGGGAAAAATCAAAATAGAATGCCTAATCTGTCAAACTGTACCCCTTGTGTCACATCCCAGCCCGGGACGGATCACTTCCCGGGCCCGCTCCACCACCGTAGCACGATATTGTCCGCTTTGGGCCTCGACTACGCCCTCACGGTTTTGTTTCTGGGAACTCACACGAGAACTTCCCGATGGGTCACCCATCTTGGGAATGCTCTCGCGCGCTACTTGCTTAACTTCGGAGTTCCCATGGAACCCGAAGCCAATGAGCTCCCAAAAGACCTCGTGCCAGGTAGGGATGGGAATATACATTTAAGGATCACTCCCATGGGCGATGTGGGATGTCACAATCCACCCCCCTTAGGGGCCCGATGTCCTCGTCGGCACACACGCGGCCAGGGTTAAGCTCTGATACCAAATTGTCACATCCCGGGTCGGATCACTTCCCGGGCCCGTTCCACCACCGTAGCACGATATTGTCTGCTTTGGGCCCCGACTACGCCCTCACGGTTTTGTTTCTGGGAACTCACACGAGAACTTCCTGATGGGTCACTCATCCTGGGAATGCTCTCGCGCGCTACTCGCTTAACTTCGGAGTTCCCATGGAACCCGAAGCCAGTGAGCTCCCAAAAGGCCTCGTGCTAGGTAGGGATGGGAATATACATTTAAGGATCACTCCCCTGGGCGATGTGGGATGTCACACCTTGTTTTACACTTCTTGGTTGCTTAACGAGTATCTTTTCTTCAGGCCACATCTGGAGGTCACTTTTCGAATTATGGTTAGAAGGATAGGACTTTATGACTATATCTGCCCTTAAGCACACGAAGATGGGTTTTTTTTTTTTTTTTGCGCACATGATATTTCAATACTACGGAGAGGCGTGGGCTAAGTCTTCCAATGGGCTAGCAATATGGTTCAAATTCGCTTTTGGCGATTAGCGAGAATCAAATCGAAGACCTGTTACTTGCAAGTGAAGTAAAAATGAATACCACTAAACTCTATTACTAAGTGGCAAATGATGATGGTTTTAAAAAGATAGTTACCATATGTTGGGCCTTTGTGCCACCATTTAACCTTAAAAACATAGGATAAAAGAAAAAGAATAACGTAGGCATGGTAAAATTGGGAAAGGGATCCTTTCCTTTTAATCCACCAAGTTTAGGGATATGTACCATTGAAATTTGATCCAATGGCTAAAGTTGTTATAACTTTTAATACAGGCCTCTATTTGTAGCCGTTAATCAAATTTCAAAGGTCCGGATCTTCGAACTTGATGGATTAGGAGAAAGGGATCCATCCTTTCCGTAAAATTGAATTAGGATAGCTCACTTCTAAAAATTGCGCCGAATGTTATTCTTGTAGGACGCGGAAAGGATCGGGGTTCTCTTTTTGAATTAGGGTTGGCTCACACTCCATCCTATATATTGTTCCATAGTCCTTACCCTAGAACCGAAAATTGAACGCTCTCTATCTTTTGCAATATCAAGGTATTGCAAAATCATTTAAACAGACCAAGAGAGATGAATGAGACTATTTTTGGCGTATCAAAATTCAAAACCTAGGCGACTACCTCTCTTTAAGCAGATGGTTCAGGTTCAAGCAACTGCTGCTTCAATTGGTTAATAAACCAGACAAGAAGAGGAAGCAAAACGAAAAGGGCAGCAGATGGCAGAGGCTACACGAAGATATCATGGAGATGATTGTACCACGCTTGAACATAAGTGACCGTATACGTTTAGGTATTGCCTGCAAGTCTTGGAACTCCGTTTGTATGCGAGGGGACATCGGGAGTGCTCAACTAGGAGTGCCGTGGTTAGTACTCCCTCACGGTCCAGATGGCAACTATATCGAACGAATGACATTTTTGCTGGTAATTTAGTTCGGACAGTTGAGCAACCAGAAGCTTCCAAAACCATAAGCAACACATTATTTATCCTAATATATTACGGTTCGTACGATCGTGTTCATTTTGGTCATGAACAAATTTCGGATTCACGAGAGCTTTAGAGAATTTAGCCATCTCATTCTCATAGAAGCAACCCACTTCTACTCTCACATAAGTGGTTACTCATTAAGAATAGTCAGCTCTATTCCTCTTATTTAAGATATCACTGTCATTAAGTATAATATACACCCTAAAACTTCTGCAAACAACTCACTTCTTCCATCATAGGAATGAGGTATGTAGTGTGTTAACTTCTTTGAATCATGCCAAACCAGTTTGCCTATTGAACTTAGACCATGAGATCTCCAATCAACTAAGTTAGGTTTCCACCCGGTTGATTCATTAGTTATGTTGGCTTTAGCCTCATTCCCCTCGATGATCAACTTACCCTCTAGTCATATCTTTAATAAGAGGTACCACTAAGGTTGACTACTCTTATGGTGTGCACTTCCATAGTATGAAATTATATTTCATACGAAAATAGTTTTCCAATGTCTTCGTAAATAATTTGCTAATACTTAAGAATGTTCTTCCACATTTAGGGTACTTGTAGAAAGGTCCCTAACCTTTCCATACCTTAAAATACTAGTCTCTTTTAAGATGCAAATTACTCTTTCCAATTGTCCTTTCCCCAATTCGACAACCCCTCAGAACATAGGATTTGTATTCTAAAATCTTTTGAATCCAGTATGCTTTCAGGATTGTGCAATGTGCTTTTGTTTGAGATTTTTCTTAAGTCATTGCATGAATATCCCACCTATGTACATTGACTTCACATTGTAAGAAATTCAATTCGTTAACAACTTAACATTATTGAATTCATCTAATACATGTGGACACTCAAAATTATAAATAACACAACCCAATATCTATGTACATTCAATACTTAACGGGCATCATCTTGTTTAAATTCAATTGCGTATGCTTACTCAATAAGCATCATTTTCAGTGTCTAGTCATTCCTTTTACGAAAGACCCCACACTTTAACTCATTGGTTGTCATGACATTTCCCTTTTCTCTGGGTGTGCTCACCGGGGAAGAAGATCAGCGCTGCTGCTGCAGGGGACTGTGTTTTGGTTGAAAAATCGCGGGGCAAGTTCGTGGTTCAATAGTGATCAGGAATATGAACGGAGAGAGGTGAATCTTGACGTTCAAAAACCAAAACCCTTGATAAATTCAAATCGAATTTTTGAAAAATCCAATGATTCCCGATCAAAAATGGGTTAGCGACGACCTTAGGTCATCAGGGACGGTGACCACGTGGTGGGGCGTGGCTGCAAGCCAAGCCTGCCCATGGTTAGTGGCTCTGGGGCTCTCTGGGTTCAAACCTGGAGCCCGTGGCTTCGAGGCTGGTTTTTAGCAACTAGGGGAGTTGCGGCAACGGCTTTGAGCCGCTACCCGTTGGGTTCGAAACCCCTAAAAAAAAATTTATTTTTCAAATCAAATTATATAATTCAATATTAATTCAACAATTATGAATATAATGTATAAACAATTTATGTAAAATCTAAAATTCGTAAAATGTAAAGTTGGGTCATAACATCTGTATATCATATATGCTTATTATGCTGTGATTTGCACTGGTGTCTATTATTTATTATATTGGTCTAGGCACATGACAAGCTCGCTTACATTCATTTTATATCTAGAGTTAGTGCCAGCTTGTTCTCCCTAAGGTTGTGGTAGATTCCTTAGGGCATTGATAGATATGTTGTGATGCACTTAGCGCAACTGCTAGTGGTGTAGTACTAGAATGTAAAACTTAACACCCAGCCCATTCATGTAGTTATTTGTTACATGAATTATGTGCCACCATTACTTAATGAGCATTGATTTATTGTGACAAAGATTTGAGATTTGATGATGAGATATGTATTGTAGTAGTACCTTATATTCTTTTACTCACTTGTGCTATAGGGTACCCTAGTACGTACTAGTATTATATTATTATTTCTAAGAAACTACATACTTGTTTGACAATGAGGAGTTACACATTTTCATAAAGGTTTTCAAAATTTTACTTTTATAGGCCCGCTGGCCCTTTTTTTTTTTCCTCTAGGATTTAGTGGCAATGCTATAGTGAGGACGAGGACTTCTAGCAAAAGCAGGCATATACAAGGTTACTGCTTATTTACATATGCTCTGACATCACTTGTGTGATAACAGTTCAATCCGCTCACTTGCGCACTCTAGAATTAGTTACTTTAAATTTTAAATTAGTAACACTTTACACATCTCAATCACTTTATGGCATCGTCACCTTGAAAATGTCGGCAAACACTGATTGATCATGGTGCCCAAATGGACATTTTGGATCGGGACGTGTTTGGAGGCCCACGATTATGAGGTGAATAAGTTGATTGATCATGCTACCTTCAAGAAGATTAAGGCCAATGACCTTCGGGCAATCCTAACTATGGCCGGAGGGGAATTGGAGTCCAAGCGTAGGGCTAGAATTGAGTTGGAACATGCGTTGCAAATGCACAAACTTGACTACCTGTAAAGCAACAGACAACCTTAAGTAACCTAAGCACCAGTGGGGTGTCGGGCAAAGACTCTTTGACAGTTAAGTTAGTAAGCAATATTTGAGATTTAAGCAGTAGGCGCAAGAAGTATTTATATTAGTTGAGAAAGAGTCATTTTAGGATACAAAATATGTATTAAACTGGGAGAATCGCAAATGATATTTAGGAGCAGATATTGCATCTTTTTAGAAGTGTGATTATTTACGGTGCATGTCAAATTCCTAGTTTACAGGAATCTCCAATAATATAGGAAACTTGACCAATTCCATACTGGCTACTCTTTAGTGTCACACTATGATGTTGGGTGACGTATAAAATGCATTTTGGCACTATGTAATTTGATTGGATTAGGGGAGCGCATTTTGCGCGGGGAGCTTGTCTACTCTCATTTTCCGTTTGGTTAGTTTGATTCCTGGATGCCCCCTCCTTCTTGGTTACGGCTTGTGGTGGTATTGTGGCGGCCGTGCTAGCGGATGTTATGTACTGTGATTGCCTTGATCACAGGCAACAAAGTTTTGGGTCGAAATGTAGTGTTTTGGGGTCGTTATGTAATTTGCCTTTCTTTTGTGCTGTTTGTTAAGGGTTTAGGCTGTGTGTGCCATGTGGCAGTCTTACCTTGGAGAGGTTGCTAGTGCTATTACGCTCTCTCGTTCTAGTTGCAACAGACATACATGAAATCAAATATTAAGAACTCAATTTGCAAAAAATACTCCATCTCCTTTCCCTCACCTTTCCCTGTAATTCTTGCTTCCAGTTAAGGTTGAACTAGAGGCCGGAACTGGTATCTAACAGCGGAGCTGTGGCGGTTGTCTTTCTTGTCGTAGATCTCTGTATTGGGTATGGTTGAAACTGGAATAGAAAGATCGAAAGTAGAGAGATTAAAGATTTGATTCTGTTTATGACAAAAATAAGATCCGGAAAGGTCGAAATTACCACTGCCCGAAAGTTTATACAATTGACCGATTATATTGTGAATTGAAATCTTCAAGTTTCTGTTTTAATTCAAACCTCATCCATCAAATTTCAAGACAAATCTTGATCTCTGTCAATCGACTCAATCCCTCCTTTCTGTTTAGGCTTTTGGCATGGAAAACGGAAGAGACAGACAAACTGGAAATCTAAGAGCATTCATGTTAAAGAAACCGTTGATTCCAGGAAACATGAGTCAACGAAAGACTGCCCAAAAAACACATTCACGTTATCTGCAGAGAGCAGACTAAATAGATAGCTGCTGGAGTTGTCAACAAAAGAAACCCATCCTAATATGTTCAAAGATCCCCCAGGGCAACTTCTGTTGCTCAGTGACAAACTCAAGATAGAATCTTGGTCGCTTATATTTGATCGAAGTTGTCTGTCAGCGCAATGAGTGATCCAAGAGGAACTCAGCTGGTTGAGCTTTAGCTGCATAGCCAAACTTCCATGTGCTGTACTTCCGGTGCACTCCAGTGAGTTTTGCAGTTTCAGCCTTCTGATGAAACGTAACCATCATCCTCGAGCATTCTCTGTTGATACATAAAGTACACATGAAACATTACTTTTCTGACAAGTAAACAAATTTCATGTAATACCACTTAGTATTTCATTTGCCAATGTGAACCAAATAGATTTATTACCATGTATAAAATTGCAATTTGCAATGAATCATGACAGTCAGTGCAAGAAGTACTCACAGGAGTTCATCTTCCGAGTAATTCGTATACCACTCACTAGTCTTGCTCCACTGCTTGAACCGGGACAGAGTACACTGAGCAGTATAAATTGCAGCAGCAGCTAGCATAGAAGGGGGGAACCTGAGCATTTCGTACTCCACCAGGCATAACTCAATGAGGAAGAAGGACAGAAGCTCAAGCTGTTCATTCAATTCCATGAAAATCAAGTACATTAATACCGCTAGGTTTTATAAAAATAAGTGAAATATTACTGCTTCTTATACTGTGTATCACATGACTGACCTTTTTCTCTGATTGAGCTGCCTTGAGGAATCGCCTCATGAACACATACACAGTAGGAACAGAGAAGTTGAATTGTAAGCTGTTCACCATTGATTTCTCCATATCAAGCACATCTTTCCGTGAATATGCCTTATCTGATATCAGAACGAAATCCTCCACAATTGGGACCGAAACCTCCTCATACTTGCAAGCTAGTAGCATGGCTGTCACACCAACCAACTGAAGCTTCTTTCTGATCACCATTTGGCTCTCTAAGAACCTGTCTATAAGATTTACAGTAAGGAAGAGTGTCTCGTCCATAAGCTCAAACTTGTAGTGGACCTGTTAAAAGAATCAAAACCTGTTAACAATCTGTTCACATCACAGTACCAAACCCTTAATACTCAAACTTGGGCATCTTTAAAACGAATCAAACTAATGACACAACATTGTACCTCAATAAGCCAGTCAATGAGAATTGCCCTCATTTTCTCATTGATGTCAGGTTGGTGAGCCATGTAACTTGGGGAGACAGAGCTTGACTTCTGCATGATAAAGATTATCATTTTTCAGTAAACTGAACTTAGTCGGTAACCTCCCTCATTTATGCATCTACTTATCTAGTTAAAGGGTGTCTCACTAGACAATTTGGCCAACTAACCAATTTGATTGATACTTATGGCAGAGAAGAATGTATTTCTTTACCAACAGAAAACCAGAAAAACCAAAACCAAACAATGAAAACCCCAGAAAAGAAAAAGGCAGAAATTGATTGTCAACATATGCACCTCCAGAAATCAGGCCAACCCTAAAATGAAAAGGTATGAGACCAAAAAAACGTAAATATTCTTATCTAATCAAACAGGTCAGTTTTCCAACATTTGCATATCTGACATCCTTGTATAACTATTTCGGGTTAGCTACCCTAAGCCATACGACAACACAAACATGCAGTGCTTTTTAGTTTTGAATCTCATCTGATCAAACAGACGAATGAATTCAGAATTTTCAACATTCGCTCGATTCTACCCTATGCTCATATGAGAACAAAAAGTGCAGTGCTTTTAATTTTGAAGCTCGTATGAGCAAACAGATACAAGAATTCTGCAGTTTCAACATTGGTTAAATTCTACCCTAAGCCATATGAGAACACAAAAATGCAGCCGTATTTCTAAGCTCATCTGGTCAATGATAACACAGACTTCCAACAAATCTTAAGGTTAACATCTATGCCTTCCATTTCTAACCCTCAAGAGCAGAACTATGTTCTTACATTGGTTTCAGTGATCCATCTATTTACCATAGTATATGCTTTCAATAGCTAATGAAAATATACCTCAGATTTCCTGTAGTGAGCATAGATGTCATCTATGTACTCAACAACATTAAGGGGATCCTTTGAGCTGCTGCTGTCAATATCCATAATGGGGTCCTCATCCTCCAGATTTTCATCCTCTTCCTGCAGTAATCAACAGAATGTACCCATTTAGCCTTCTGATATATAAAGATGAGAACTTTCGAATAAGAAAACTACTAGTAGTACTAGACAGTAAGACAGACATACCATCCTATCAATTTCATCTAGCATAGCTTCGGTGTGCTTAACAAACATTGGCACATGAGAATCACAAGCCTCATCCTCAATATTCTCCACATCTATAATTTCGCAATCCACTAAACCACTAGAATTTGCATTATACGAGCTCGGTTTCTTAGCTTCCTGATTAACGTCCTGCACAACTTTCGGATTTGCAGCAAATGAACTCACAGTCACTTCCTTGGTTTCCTAATTACATATAACCAACACCAAAAATTTTAATTCGAATTAAAAGCGAAAAACCAAAATGTAAACAAAAGATCCTTGTCATCGGTCTAAAAGGTACTACCTTTGGCTGCTGCTGGAGCAATTGTGCAAACCTCCTATACAAAAATCAAAATATTAAGTATCAAATTCTTCAGATAGCCTATTACAACAAAAACAGGAAGGCAAATAGAATAAGAGTAAATTCAAACCTTGTCACTGGTCTATGTGGCAGATCTGGCACATTTTTCTTACATTCCGCAGCATCTTTCCTGAATTACATCGTTTATAATGTCTCAAATTAGGTCATTAGTAAACTAAAGGCTACTAGAAAACGAATCAAACATATTAAAACATAAACATGGAAAGAGATTCATCAGATTGTAAGAAAATGTCACAAACCTAGGACATTCTTTTCTGGTGATGTTATGGACATCCCTTAGTGCTGGTCGATGATTCGGCCCAACCTCCTTCACAAACTTGGAACCCCCCATTCTTGGACCTTTTTCAAAATTTAAAGAAAATACATACAAAAGAAGAACATAAATTCAAAGATTCAGAAATTGAAAATTACGTTAAATTACATCATGGGTTTTGGCTGCGGCTCTTACCTTGGAAATTTGAGGGCCTAACGAGAGCTGGGTTGTTCTCCTTTGATCCCATTTCGATCACCTTCAACACAAAATCACCATCAAACAACAAAAATAAAAAACCAAAAATTAAAATGTGAATGAAATCAGAAAAACCCATGATCTAGAACACGAAGAACAAGAAGAAAACGACCGAAAATCTGAAACAATCGAAACCCAGAACATTCGAAATTTAAAAAACAAAACGAAAGATCGAAAGAAACCCACAAACCTTGAAGAGAAATCAAGGGACTTGATCAAAGTAATGCAAATATCAAAGCTTTGAATCTTCAAAATCCCGAGAGAGAAATGAATGGCATATGAAGCCGCTTTCTCTCTCTTTCCCCCTCTCTCTCGTCTTGTCTCTCTCTACTCTGTGCGTCTGTGTTCTTGTTGGGTTCTTTAAAACGGGTTTTTATTTATTAAGCAGATTCATAGTCGAAGAAAAAAGGAAAAAGAATTTTTAAAGCGGAATTTGGGAGAGAAGGGCATGTGCTCCTCCGTTTTGAATACAACGGCTACTAATACCTGACCGTCCGATCTCAATACTGCCGAAAGGTCACGATGGTCTGTCTCCAACGGCTACCTGGCTTTTGTGCTTTGTGCCCTATATATAATTTCAAATGTTTTATGAAGGCCTCCGGTCCTGGTTTTTTTTTTGGGTTGGGCTGGGCCTTTGACCTTTTTGTCTGTGATAATTAGCCCGTTTACTACGCTCCACGCTATTGATTTGGCTTTTTCCTAGCGTCATTTTTGGAAATTTAGCAGATATGCTCTACAGCACTGAGGGGACTGTCCCAATTCTCATACAAGCTCCCCATGCCACGTGCCTCACAAAAAATTAATTTACTGTAAATATATCCACGAATATATGAATTAATATTTTATTTTAAAATTATTATTGAAACTCCGAACAATGTATTGTTAAGGAAAAAATAAGCATGTGGTTATAATTTCAGGACGCTAATATTAATTCTTTATCCTTTAGCAAATTAATTATAAATTAATAATTACGTAATGTGATCAAATAATATATAATCGCATTAATTTTACACAATCACATTTTTAGTTTGAACCTTCAAGTTTTAACATTTTTTTTAACAAACGATATTATTTACACTAAATGAGAGAGAATGGGCCTAGCATCATAATAGGTTAGCAATAATGTGGTTAAAATTTGTCTTTGACGATAATCGAACCTAAGACCTCTGACTTACAAATGAAAATGAATATCACTAGACTGTAGTACTAAGTGATCAAGTTTCAACATTTATTATTGACTAAATAATATGATTTCACTTCATTTTTGCAGGACAAGAAAGGGAAAGATCTAGAGATATTGAACAGCAAAGTTCTTATCAAATTGTATCGTGTCTACCTCCATTTGCATATTCAGTTTCCCATTTTACCTTTTTCTTGCCAAAGTAATTCAATTTTCTTTCCCATATTCCCCTATAAACTCTAAAGGTGAATTGGCCCTATAAAGTGCTATTAATTTGAAATACAAGCTTGTATCTTATTTTATTTTTTAGGCTGGACAGTGGACGTGTTTTTTTTTTTTTTTTGAAATGTGTTGACATGTTTCTTTTGGTACAAGTTGTGCGGGATGGATTGGCCACAAGACTTCAGATGCATAAATAACTTTTCTCATTACGTATGGTCTAAGTCTTTTTCATTAAAGCCAAACATTATGTGTTAGGGTAAAATTGGCAATCCCTGACATAATGACTGAGTCTGTAATAGTTTAGACTTGTTATACATTTTCAATTGTAATAGTTTAAGTCTAGGAAGGGTTCTCACACTTTCGATGCAAAGATGTTACCTACACGCGATAAATATTCAGGTACGTTTGCATGCATACATCCAACTACATTCATCTATATCTCATGTTATTGTTTTTGATATAGGACTCTTAACCATTGTGTGATTTATCTCTTTAAAATATCTTATTCCTTTATATTCGAGATTTTAAAAGCATGCAAAACAGTCTAATTGCATTGGGACTTATCTGTTGGATGTTGATAAGAGCCATCTGGTTATATGGCTTGGATTCTTATCGGTTTGAGTCGGTTAGGCATTAAGCTCATATAAGAGTTGTAAAACCCTTGGAAAAAGGGTGCGGCATATATGCATGTTTTTATTAAAAGATTCAAGGGCAGCAGCTTTGTGTTTTGAAAAGCATATAACATTATTTTTTTAAGTGGCTGCCAGATAGTGGTTTTGATTAGAATGTGTTTTTAAAGGAAGCCGCATATGCATGTTTTTGTGGGGAACAAGATTGGCAGCAACTTTGGTTTTTAAAAGAGAAAACATTACCTTCAGTGCATGAATCTAAAATTAACTTTTTAGTGGTTGCCATCTTGTGGTTTGAATAGCATGTGTTTTTAACGGGAAAATATTATTTTCATGCTGATTTTCATTTGGTTTTTGTTGAATATCAATTATGAAAATGTGCCTTGTGATTTTCGTAATTGATTGATTTTTCAACCACACACTTCATCATATAAACATTCTGCATGATCGAGTTAGCATCATGCAAAGTTCGAGGGAAAGGTGATTGACGGTTGCGTTAGTACCGTGCCACTTCAACTCGAGGACTGAAGAAAGATCGAGTAGCAAAGCGCGAAGACAAAGCTGCCAACTGGTATGAGTGTCTAGTTGATGAGGTTTGTAAGTCTTTATGTATTCTTTCTTTCTTAGTGCTTCCTGGGTTGGTAGCCCGAGGATTTTCCCAGTGGTGGGTTTTGCCTCGTTAAATCCTACATCATGTGTGTGCTTTTTATATTCATGTTGAATATTTGTGTAGGATTAATTTTGCATAACTGATTAATTGAAACCATAATTTGCTTTAGCGTTAAGTTGTCATTTATAGATTAAGTTAGTACCCATCCTAGGACTTTCATTATGGCTTAATTATTTTCCTTTACAAGATATTGGGAGGGTAATCTTTATATGATGATATTGAAAGTGACGCCCTCCACACTAGCACTATTGAAGACACAAGGACTGGTTTAACAATTTAGTTGCTTCCCGCGTTTGTCATATTCGTAGAAACGCCTATATAGTGGCACATAGATTGGCTAAGTTGGCCTATTTCTGATTTTGTATCTTGTTAGTACGAAGAGCTTTCAGATATTATCCAAAATGCTCTCTTGTAGCTTCCTTGACAATGTTAATCAATATCAATAGGGTTTCTCCTTAAGAAAAATGTTCATATTCGTTATTAATGAAAGGAAGAATGACTTGACCTAATAAGCTTGGGGAGTGCATGTATCATGCAACCACATGAAGAGGAGAAGACTTGTTGACGTGCCAAATATGGTGGCTGGCAATCACTCACAAGTCGGAACTTTCTTCGGCATTCGATCTGTGGCCCTTAGGAAGACTTATTCACAAAGACCACAGGCACGAAGTCCAGGTTGACGTGGAAGAGACTCAACCCCAAATCAGACGCATAAATCTTCCACAGATTCAATCCAATCCAATCCAATCCATAATTTGAAATTTTGATATTTTGAATCCTTGTTAACGGGTCAAATTGAACATTTTGAATATCTTCTTAAGTGACTCACAGGCTCAAACCGCGGGCTAATCACTATCAAGAGATTTTCGGGAATAATTGTATCTAGTGTTCGAACATAAGACAACACTTGCCTCATTTTCGACAAGGAGAAAAATCCTAATTTTTTACTATTATGTATAAGTTTGCCGTACATATGTTAAAATTAAAATCGTTCATTTTATTATTATTATTATTATTATTATTATTATTATGTTTTATACAAATAGTATTTATATGATGGTACATAAAATTAACTTTGGATTGTAACATTTGTATGGTAGAATGATGTCACATTAGGAGAAAAATAGACTTTTTGTCCTTGCCGGAAATTAAAAAAAAAAACATTATACTTGCAGATGTTAAAACTGGTTGTTTACCGCTTGTGGCCGAATTCTAGTACTTCAACTTTTTTTTTTTTAAGGCAAAGTAGTACTTCAACTCGAGTTCCTTCACCACTTAAGCTTTGGATTAAGTTTGTTTGAACTTAAGTGGTAAAAGATTGAACTAAGAATTTAGAATCCCAGTGCAAATTGACTTTATAAAGATGAGTAAAGCCAGAGATATTAAATTCGTAGATAAAATTTTATAAACTAAATAACATGAAAATTGATAATTAAGTTACTACTTAATCATTGATAAACGTGCTCATTTTCTATTTGTGATATATCATTTAGTTTGCAAATTTTGTCTACAAAATGAGCCTCTCTAGCATTACTCTATAAAGATTAGGTTAAGACTATATACCTTATTCGACATACATAATTTGATTGGAATGAATAAGACATTGTTTTCAAGGTAAGTTCAAAAAAGAAATGAAAAAATTATGATCAACTTGAAGGTAGGAGAAGAATTACTCAAGAAGAAAACTTATACATTACAATCCTTCCCGAAATGGGAAGGAAGAAGTTTAATTCATGTCTAATCGTCTTCTAATCCCCTCAAAATGAAAACTCATTCACATCAACCTTCCAAATGCCTTGAATTTAGAGCGTTGTCCGTTTCAATCCAATCCTTTATTTCAAACGAACCAATAGACTCCCAATGCCTCCTTAGAAATCCACTAGTGCTCGGATTGGCCTCGCTTTCTTTCCACTTGGCCTGGCCGTTGATCGTATCGACTCGACTTTGGCCTAGAAGCTACTGCTTCATCCTCCTAAACTTTGTTCTCTCTTGTATATCACTTGTGTTAACGTGTGTTTTTGGGAGGTCAACTTTGAGGTCGGCAAGTGTTGATCAAATTTGGAGCGAGGTTGGGGATATGATATGCACTAGGTAAACAAACAGGTCATCCAACAAGCACCCATATGATTCATTTTTTAAATTTTCCATGGATTTTAGCATGTCGTTGGTTATGTGAAAGAAAGATATTCAACCCTTAACGGCATCCAAAATTGGGCATCTAGACAAAACTGAGATCAGTGCGTAAGATAAGGTGAGATGAATGGTAGAAAAATTCCAAATTTTGACATGAACAAGCCAACGGATTCACGAACATCCACCAATTGGAATCACTCCAAAATTCATCCGTTTAACTACTTTTTCTTCTAGGGGAAATCGAATGTTCTACATTAGAAATATAATTCAAAGTATCAAAATTTTTACCAAATAACCAATAAATTAATAATAAGAATAGGATAAAATATTTAGTATAAAATTGACTCATCAATAAATTCTAAGATTAAACTTGATTTTAATTAGGGTTTACCAGACTTGTAACTAACCATACATAGCCTAAGTCCTTAAGTCTGCTGGGTGCATGCATTTACATGCATCAGTACCGTATGTCATCCCGATTTCAAGAGGTAGGAACATTGTCAAACAGACATTCATTTGTGTGCATACAAGTAATTGCATGTCGGTAGTTGATTTTCATAATACATCGCATTTCTTATAATCAGTGAGTCTTAATTAAAATTTATTTTGATATAAGTTATTGGTTTT